TTATTTTTAGAGAAAGAGGAGGGGAGGGAGAAAGAGAGGGAGAGAAACATCAATGTGTGGTTGCTTCCCACGCATCCCCCACTGGGGACCTGGCGGCAACCCAGACATGTGCCCCAACTGGGAATCAAACTGGTGACCCCTTAGTTGGAAGGCTGGCGCTCAATCCACTGAGCTACACCATCCAGGTCCAAATTAAAAATTTTTTTCACAGCAAAGGAAACCATCAATCAAATGAGACGACAACCCACTGAATGGAAGAACATATTCTCCAATTATATAATACATCTTATAAGGGGTTAATATCCAAAATGTATAAAGAACTTAAAAAGTCAACACCAAAAAACAAATAATCCAATTAAAAATTGGGAAAAGACCTTAATAGACACTTCTCCAAAGAAGACATACAGATGGCCAATAAATATATGAAAAGATGTTCAATGCTACTAATTATCAGAGAAATGCAAATTAAAACCACAATGAGATATCACTTCACACCTGTCAGAATGGCTATCATCAATAAATCAACAAACAACAAGTGCTGGTGAGGTTGTGGAGAAAGGGGAACCCTAGTGCACTGTCGGTGGGAATACACACTGGTGCAGCTACTGTGGAAAGCAGAATGGAGTTACCTAAAAAAATTAAAAACGGAATTGTCTTGTGACTCAGCAATTCCACTTCTGGGACTATATCCAAAGAAACACAAAACACTAATTTGAAAGAATATATGTGTCCCTATGTTCACTGCAGCATTATTTACCATAGCGAAGATATGGAAGCAACCCAAGTGCCCATCAGTAGATGAGTGGATAAAAAAGCAGTGGTACATATGAAAATGGAATATTAGCCATAAATTGACAAAATCATACCATTTGTGACAATATGGATGGATCTAGATGGTATTATGCTAAGCAAAAGCAGTCAAACAAAGACAAATACCGTATAATTTCACTTATATGTGGAATCTAACAAACAAAATTAACAAAATAAACTAACAAACAAAATAGAAACAAACTCATAGATAGGAAACAGTCTGACAGCTGTCAGAGTGGAGGTGGGTTGTGGGGCTGGGTGAAAAAGGTGAAGATATTAAGGGAAAAAAAACCCAAAACTGATAGATGCATACAATATCTGCATCAGAGTGTGGATGTTGCAGATGCAATATCCACTCAGACATCCACTCAGAGTGGATGTGGGGGAGGAGTAGAAGGTGTAGGGGGAAGAGTGAAGGGTGGAGGGGATGTAGAAGGTGTAGGGGGAATAAATGGTGATAGAGACTTGACTTGGGGTAGTGAACATACAATGCAATATACACATAATGTATTATAGAATTACACACCTGAAACCTATATAACTTTATTAACCGGTGTCACCCTAATAAATTCAATTAAAAAGAAAAAATAAATTGTTGATACCTATGTATTTATTATCATTTTATTATTCATATTTTTAATCTTATTTTACCTTCTTTTTTAAAAAGATTTTATTTATTTATTTTTAGAGAGAGGGGAAGGGAGGGGAAAAGAGAGAGAAACGTCAGTGTGTGGTTGCCTCTCGCACACCCCCTACTGGGGATCTGGCCTGCAACCCAGGAAATTGAACCAGTGACCCTTTGGTTCACAGACCAGCACTCAGTCCACTGAGCCACTCCAGCCAGGGTATTATTTTTCCTTCTTCTGAAAGAAAACCCTTTAACATTTCATATAATACTGGTTGGTGGTAATGAACTCGAGCTTTTTCTTGTACAGGAAACTGTTTGTGTCCTTCCATTCTAAATGATAGCATTGCTGGGTAATATAATCTTGGTTGTAGGTTCTTATTTTTCATCACTTTGAATTTTTCTTGCCAATCCCTTCTGGCCTGAAAAGTTCCTGATGTGGAATCGGCTGATGGTCTTACATGAGCTCCCTTATAAATAACTGTTTTTCTCTTGCTGCTTTTAGGATTCTCTCTTAGTCTTTAACTCTTACCATTTTAATTAAGGTATGTCTTGGTGTGGGCCTCTTCAGATTCATCTTGTTTGGGACTCTCTGTGCTTCCTGGACTGGTATGTCTATTTTGTTGGGAACTGCTCTGCATGGTTTCAGAATCTGTAAAACACCCCCCCCCCACCCCATGGCTCAGGCTGAGTGAGTGACCTTGGGACCATAAGCCACTGAGGAGACGAAGCTTATCTGCCTGGCAGGAGCACCGCCTCTGCCCACTTTACTTCACCCTGCCCTGCCCTCAATGCTTGATCGGTTAGCCAATGATGGGTAAGATTCCTCAAGGGAGGGACGACCTAAGACAGGCACGATGATGGGGGGCCCCTAGGGAAAGACTTGGGGGGCTATAGAAAAATGGGGTGATGGACCCTTGCCCCTTGGCTTTGACATAGCCTGAGTCCTCATTCTGTCTGCAAGAAGCCTCCTAATCTCTTGGCTGCCTTACTTCCCCTGACTGCCTTAAGCCTGAAACAATGCTGGAGGTGGGTGCTGCCCTGTGCTGGAAAGGGCAGTTTCCCTAGGGCCTAAGAAAGAATGCATAAAATCCTATGAAACTTATTTTGCTAATACCTTCAAGTTAAATAATAAGGGACCAAGCAGGAAGTGAGTTTGTTCCCCAAAGTTTTATGGCCCTTTAACTATCTGACCCTGACTCAGAATAAGTCCTCAGAGTTCTTTGAATGTTAACTATTGTTTAATCATTACTGCCTGGCAATGACTGATGAACTTATTCCTGTGCAAATTGAACCCAATAAAAGTCTGCCAAGGGCCGGCACACACGCCTCTTGAGAGAGAAGCTGAGCCATCCCTTTTCCACCACAGGACTCAGTAGTCCATGTGAATTTGTCTTGTATCTCATCCACAATGTCTCAGACCCCACAAGCCAGGGTCTGCATCACTATTTCCTTCACCAGGTTAGGGAAGTTTTCCATCATTATTTTTTCACATAGGTTTTCAACTTCTTGCTTTCTCTTTTCTTCTAGCACCCATATGATGTGAATGTTGGTATATTTAAAGTTGTCCCAGAGACTCCTTAAACTATCTTCATTTTTTTTATTCTTTTTTTTATGTGTATATTCTTATATCAATACTATATCACCTTAATTACTGTAGCTTTATAATAAGTTCTGATATTAACAGCAAGTCCTCCCATCTGGTTTTCCTTCTTTAAGAGTATCATGATTACCTGTGGCTTTTGTTTGTACAAATACTTTTAAGGATCAGATTGTCAAGTTCCACAAGAACAATACTAGGATTTTTATTGGAATTGTATTGAAAATATATATTATTTGAATAGAATACCTCTCCATTTATTTAGATTTTTTCTAATTGTTCTTATTGCATTTTGTAGTTACATTAAGTAGCATTTTTTCCTGTTAAGCCTTGCACATGTTTAATTAAATTTATTCCTAGGTACATGATATTTCTTGATTGTAAATGATACTTGTTTAAACTTTCATTTTCTAACTCCTTTTTGTTATCAGGAAGGAAATTGACTTTTATACATTGACTTTATATTCAGCAACATTACTTAATGTTCTTATTGACTCTAATAATTTATCTGCACATGATCTTGGATTTTCTATATACATAATTATATTATCTGTGACTAATGGCAGTTTTATTTCCTCTTTTATAATCTTTATACCTCTTTCCCTTGCCTAATGGCACTGGCTAAGGTCTTGAGTACTGTTTTGAATAGAAATGATGATAGGGATCAACATTTTCTTGCTTTCAATATCAAAGTTTTCACTGTTTCACTACTAAGCGAGATATTTACTGTAGTTTATGGATGCTCTTTAACAGATTAAGAAAACTATCTATTCCTAATTTGCTAAAAGTTTTCTTTAAAATCATGAAAAATGTTGCAGTTCATCAAGTGTTTCTCCATTTATTAAAGTGTTTGTATGTGATCTCTTAATGTGGCAAATTATGTTAATTTTATAATGTAAAATTTAAACTAGTATTGTTACATATTGTTGTTTTATATAATATTTAGAAGTTTTTGAATGTTTACAGTTTTTGCATTTTTGCCTTGAGCACAATTGACCTATAATTTTCTTTTTCATATTGTCCTCATTTCGTGTTAATGTAAAGGTTAGTATTAGTCTCATAAAACAAGTTGGAAAATGTTCCCTCACTTTCTGTTCTCTTGGAGAGTTTATGAAATATTGAAACATTGCTAGTTTAATAGGAAGGATTTAATTTAGGGAGCTGTGTAGACAAGTATTAGCAAACTTAAAAGGTAAGAGGGAACCGCAATAACGGAGATAGTAAATCTCGAAGTAGTTATCATTTTGGGGATACAGATACAAAGGAGAGAGGTTGGGTTATTAAAAGTTACAGATTAGAAGAGGGACCTATGGGAGCTGGGACCCAGACATCTGAGGACGGGTACTGCCCAGCTGTGCAGGTACCTCAGGAATCACATAAAAGAATTAAAAGTCAGTCTTTGGTCCTTGAAAAGGTTTTACTTCTAGTTTGCTCTTACAAAAAGCAACTCCTCTTTCTTTAAGACATTTTACTTCTACCTACCAAAAGATTGTCATAATGCACAGAATTTTTTGGGACAAGACACTTCAGTATCATATATAAACCTACAATGTCCCCAATGCATATGGCACTTTGCATGTTGTGTGAGGGGGTCACTGGCTATCCCCTTTGTCTTCCAAAAATCTGTTGAGTTCTTTCATTCCTTTATGTATCCTTTCTAATTTTTTTATCTTTTTTATTCCTTTCTATAATTTTAATGTGATTTCAAGAGTATCATATGATGCATGAAATCAAAAAATAATTCTTAGCCAGTAATCATATAATTTATTAGTTATAAATATGTCTATATTTATTAAGTACTTATTTTAAAATAAAATGTGTATTACAATTCATTTGTAATATTGACATTTTAATTACATCTCTTCTTTTAATATCAACATTTGTTTTCTAGGTTTAAAAGAAAACACATGAAAATTAAAACTGAGTTACAATCTTGTATTGGTATAAAACCTATCAGTAAATAATATGTCTGAAAAGGAAGATAGTTCAGAAGAGGCAGAAGATACCACTAGTCAATACAAGAAAGAATTTAAATCACAGTTGGTAGAGGAACCTGGATTTATTAAAGAAACATCAGATTTATTAAGGGAAGCTTCTGATGAGAAACCTTCCCACCAGATTAGTGAAATGCATCCTACAATGGACACATCAGGTGCACATGATGATACATCCACATCCTTCCCTGAAAGTAAGTCTAAGGGAAATGAAGAACAAAGGGAAACTCAAGTATCTGAAAATGGCACTACATATGACATCTCACAGTCAACAACTGAAACTTCACAAAGTCCATCATTATCAGTATCTGAGATGACTGCTGAATCTCAGGCTTCTGTTGACTTCCTATCTCATGGTACATTAGGAAAAATTAGTCCACAACTCTCTGAAGAAAATGAGAAAGGACTTGGCTTAGGATCAGATGACTTAACCATTAACCTGAAGGCCAAGGGTTTACAAAAGTTCCCTAAGGAAATTTTAAAAATAAAATATGTAAAAAATCTATATTTAGATGAGAACCAAATCAAAAGTTTTGAAGGAGAAGACTTCAGTGAGTTGCGAGGACTTGAAATTCTGTCCTTGCAAGAGAATAAGTTATCCTCACTTCCATCTGAAATTCAGTTACTTCACAATTTAAGGATATTAAATATCAGTGACAACCAAATATCACAAATTCCTAAAGAAATATCACAGCTTAGGAACATCAGTCAACTTTTTTTAAATAACAATGGCATTGAGAATTTTCCTTCTGACGTAGAAAGTCTTAGAAACTTGGAAATTTTAAGTTTGGCTAAAAATAAGTTAAGACATATACCAGATACTGTGTCTAGTTTAAAAAACTTGAGCATTCTCAATCTGGAATATAATCAGTTAACGATATTTCCTAAAGTTCTGTGCTTCCTTCCAAAGTTAATTTCACTAAACCTTACTGGAAACCTAATTCGCAGTTTGCCAAAAGAAATTAGTGAGCTTAAAAATTTAGGGAAACTTTTAATGGATCACAATAAACTTACATTTTTGCCAGTGCAAATTTTTCATTTGCTCAAAATGCAAGAACTCCAACTGACTGACAATAAATTAGAAGCTATTTCACACAAAATTGAAAATTTTAGGAAACTTAGGATTCTAATACTTGATAAAAATTTATTGGAAGAAATACCAGAGAAAATTTCCAACTGTGTAATGTTGGAATGCCTTAGTCTTAGTGATAATAAATTAACAAAACTTCCTAAGAACATCTATAAGCTTAAAAATTTAAGAAAATTTTATGTAAACAGAAATAATATATTGAAAATACCTGAAAACATCTCACACCTTATTAATATGTTCAGTCTAGGATTTTCAGGAAATATAATCACAGATGTTCCCATTGAAATAAAAAACTGCAGGAAAATAACTAAAATTGACTTGAGTTATAATAAAATAATGTATTTTCCTATAGGTTTGTGTGCTTTGGAACATCTCTATTATTTGAGTATTCATGGAAATTATATTTCAGAAATACCTGGGGATATATCTTTCAGTAAACAACTGCTTCATTTAGAGTTTAATGAAAACAAACTCCTCATATTTTCTGAGCACTTATGTTCTCTTATTAATCTTCAGTACCTGGATCTTAGTAGAAACCAAATAAGGAAAATTTCACCATCTATTTCCAATATGGCATCACTCCGTGTTCTTATTTTATGCTGTAATGAATTTGAAGCTTTCCCTATAGAAGTGTGTACTTTAGAAAATTTGCAAGTACTTGATATTTCAGAAAACCAAATACAGGAAATTCCTTCAGAGATCTGTAACTTAAAAGGAATCCAGAAATTAAACATTTCAAGCAACCAGTTTATGAATTTTCCTATTGAACTGTGTCAACTTCAATCACTGGAAGAGCTGAATATAAGTCAAATAAATGGGAGAAAGGTAGGAGACTGATATTTTTGGTGTGGGGGAAAGGTGGCACTGGAGGGGGTCAGAATCTAAGCTGTAGTGAATGTGTATGTGTTTTTTAAATTTAGATAGACTGTTTTATTTTTTAAAGGATAGGCTTTTTTTTTAAACTTCAAACATAGCTTATAAATACACTTCTCAACACAAAGCTGTATAGAAAAACATTTCATTAAAATGAAATGCCAAGAAAAGCCAACAATTTTATTCATTTCTTTTTATTTTAGTTTAATTATAAAATGAGTTTTATTTTTAAAAAGATTTTTTATGTATTTTTAGAGAGAAAATAAGGGAGGGAGAAAGAAAGGAAGAGAAACATCAACATATGGTTGTCTCTTGCATGTTCCCAAGAGGGGATCCTGCCTGCAGCCCAGGCATGTGCCCTGACAGGGAATCCAATGAGCGACCTTTTGGTTCATAGGCCTACACTCTGTTGTAACCCTGGCTGGTGTGGTTCAGTGGATTAAGTGCTGGCCTGTAAACCAAAGGGTTGCTGGTTTGATTCCCACTCAGGACACATGCCTGAGTTGTGGGCCAGGTCCCCAGCTGGAGGTATGTGAGAGGCAACCACAAGTTGATGTTTCTCTCCTTCTCATTCTCCCTCCTTCCCCTCTCTAAGGATAAAACAAGTAAAATCTTTTTTTAAAAGTTATATATTAATATAATCACATCATTGGAAATTTAGAAAATTGAGAAAAGTTAAAAAAAATTCTACAAGCACATTACTATAATATAACTATTGGTCATATGTTGACAACTTACTTTTAGTTCTTTTTGTTTTCTTATGTACATGGCTTTATAAGCAATTAGAAAAAGATTACATTCATGTTTAAATTCTTCTATTTTCACTTAATGTGTCATAAGCATTTCCCCATGATATAACATAATTGTTATAACAATACATTGTTATGTAACTAATTTCTGTTAAGCATTTAGAGATGTTGTGATTTTTTTCATCATCATAAATAACACATATGATGAACTTTATAAATATAGCCCTTTTGTATTTTACTATTTCTTTAGGAAATTTCCCCTTAATAATCCCTACGTCAATGGTAATAAATGTTCTTTTAGTTTAGCATTTAATTTTACTCAAACTATAAGAGTGAATTTTATGAACTAATTAAAAAAATAAAACATTACTGATTTATACTGACTTGTATTAATGAAAAGGATATTATCTGGCTATCTTTAGTTTGACCATCACAGTCAAATTAAAGTCCTTTGATAGGGGCCAGACTATTATCTACAGCAAGATTTCCCAAAGTCTGTTCCTAAAAAAAAAAAGTACTGTCATGACCTGCTCTGAAAGAAAAAAGAAAGGAAGGAAGAAGGGAAGTAAAGGAAGGAGGGAGAAGAGGAATAAAAAAAAAGGTGGAGGAGTTCCTATTATCAAATAGGTTTGAGAAGCACTGGGTTCTCTCCTAGAATCACAGTGAATGTCAGTATATTAAAAGTTCTCAAGGGTCCTGCAGTAAAGAAACTTGTTTGTGTCTATTTAACCCATATTTCCCAAACTAACCTTATGTTTTTTAACCCATCACCTACTATACTGTACATTTTCAGAAAGGCTACTCCTGGAATAGTTGCTTAAGTTAGATGGAATTAATAATGACACATGTATTTTAAAAGATGTGTTTGTATTAAAAGACACTTTTTTCTATATTGTAATCAATGAATTCCTTAGCTAATTTATAATCCTTTTTCTCCTTCTCTATCTTACTGTGGAAGTCCACAGGTTGTGCCCTTAATTTTCTCTTTACTTTTTTAATTTAATTTTTTAAATTTATTGACTTGAGAGAGAGAGAGAGAGAGATCAGTTTGTTGTTCCATTTATTCATGCATTCATTAGTTGATTTTTGTATGTGCCCTGACCTGAGATCAAACCTGCAACTTCAGTGTATAGGGATGACACTCTAACCAACTGAGCTACCCAGCCAGGGCAATTTTCTCTTTGCTATTAACTCCTTCCTAGACTTCACCACACCATGCACATGATCCTCAAGTCTACAAAACTACAGCTGATCTCTCACCAGTGGTCTAGTCCCATAGTTCTTAATTTCCCCAGAAATTCTGTTCTTTTACTCTTTTATTGTTTCAAACCCAACATAACTTCAAACTTACCTTTCTTCCTTTCCAAATCTCTCCATTGCTGTTTGTGATGCCACTGTCTTTAAACCTGCCAATCTAAAAATCATGGAATCATCTTTGACTGTTCCTTTTCCATTGCCATTACACTGAATCTTACACCAAAATAGTCTCATTTTTTTCCTCTGAAAAAGCTCTTTGGATCATGTCCCTCATTTTCCAGTGTCACTGTCTCCATCCTGATCCATGGTCATCACTCACTTCATGCCTAGACTACTCCAGGAGCCTTCTGACTATTCTCTTTCATCCAGTCTCCTCCCTTTCATCAGAACTTGTCAAAACCACCATACTTCATTCCAGAGGACTGTTCTAAGGAATCCAGATTGTGTATGTATTGCCTACTCAGAGTGGGTAGTTGCAAAGGCACCAGTCCACATCATTAATGCATCATTTTAAAGGTCAACAGACAGAAAAAAAAGAGATTTACAAATGTCTTCTCAAAAAGAGTATTTTATATGTTGGAAAGATCACTTTGATAACTTCCTCAGGGTGGAGGTGACATATCCAAAGAATTAGTTTACATAATAGCAGATGGTCCCTAAACAGTCATCTGAAGGTTAGTCAGGTTAAACACTGGGCTTTTATTTTGCTAAGTGAAGAAGGATGCACAAAAGGAATCTTCCATCCCAGCTCTATCATCACACAGTTCTCAGGCATTTCCTCTAATAAATGTTGAACAAGTAGTTAAAGAATATGTTTGAAAATTGTGAAACTATGGATCTGCCCACGTGTCTTGATCTGCCTCCTACCTCATAGGCCCAGCTCTTAAGACTTCCCATAGCCTAGTTCCATGTTCCTTCTCCAAACATACCTCTCTGTCTAAACATCCACATATCTGCTATTGTACTTTTTATTTTGGCACTGAATTACCTATTACTTAATGCTGTTTCCTGATTGTTTCACATGCATATACTTTCTTCCCTGAACCACATTTTACTCTCTTTGAAGCTAGGGACTGTCTCTTAATGTTTTCTTTATATATCTGGAAGGACCTTGAGCACAATATTCAGTATTTACCTTGCCTGGATATTTCTGAGGGACCCATATATTCAAAATTCTTTTATTCACTCAGAGTATTTCCTTTATTTCAAAAGCCACTTGTGATGGCCTTATTTCTCTGAATGTACATATTTTTTCTTTACCTTACCAGAGTATCCTAATTTCTGTTATTTTGAAATACTTTTTGTACTAGGAATATTTATTTGAGGTTACATTGCCAAACTGTATGAATATACTCGAAAGGAGTTTATTGAGCATTTACTCGAAATGCACCATGCTTAGGAACATGTACACACAAGGAAAACACACAAGGAACTACTAAAAAGCAATGTTGATAAGAGTAGGAATAATTAGATCCACTGTGGCACAGAATAATTGGGAAAAATTCAGGCAAGAGAAAATTAAAGCAGAGTCAGATTTAGCAAGGAAAAGAGGGATAAGGTGGCAATGAACATTGAGTGTCTGGAGAGAGAGGAAAGTGGATTAGCAAGCCCAGTTAAATTGGTAGCACAGGTCAGACTGAGGAGGTACTCAGATGCTACATAATATGTGGGTTTTAGCAGGGAAGGGAGTCACAAAAAACTTGTTACATAGTGAAAACATCTCCTTTTTAAGGCAAAAAATTCCTTCCATTTGATTTTAGAAGTTTTAGTCATACAAATATTTATTTTAAATATAATTGTTTAATCTTTGTTACAGTTGACAAGACTTCCACAAGAGCTGTCTAATATGACTCTACTTAAAGGACTTGACATCTCAAATAATGCCATCAGAGAGATTCCAGAAAATATAGGGGAACTGAGAAGTCTGGTTAGTTTAAATGCAAACAACAATCAAATAAGTTATCTGCCACCATCTTTTCTATCTTTAAACAAACTCCAGCAACTACAGTTGAGTGGTGAGTGTCAAGCATAAACAATAAGTAGAATTATTAGTGTCGCTGTTGCAAATTTTACTAACAGGGAAGAAGGACAAACTTATCTGTTTGTAGTAGTAATGTAGTAAGTGCCTATTGGAAGGAAATGGCGATCGTAGGTACAGAAAATGTGAGCAGAGCATAAGGTCCAGTTCTTTCCCTGAAAGACATTATAATCCAACTGGGGAACCTGAGCTATTTTTTATTGTCTTCTCTGCCTATACCATTTCTTCCCTTTCTGAACCTGACCTCATCTCTCCCTGTATACACAACTACCTATACAACCTTTGGTCAGCATTCTCTGTTTTATCTTCTCTGCTGGCTCCCCTGATCCCACTCCTATACCCTATAATATTCTAATACCTTATAACCTTTTACAAAGTAAATAACTAATTCTAAAGAATTCCCAAGGCACAACGAATACTAGACTGGTATTTTAAAAATTTTATTATGAAATATTTCAAACTTACAGAAAATAAGCACAAGTGCACCTATTTCCAGAAATAAAGAATGTTGATTTGTAATATTTACTTGAAATATTTTTGATTGTTAAGAAATAAAATAAGGGGGACTTCCGGCAAGAGGGAGGAATAGGTGGACGCACCGTACCTCCTCACACAAGCAAGATTAGAACAACAATAAATTACGGTCAGCATAACACACAGAACTGATAGAGGATTTATCTGAATGGAAGTTAGACAGCCAAGAAGTTGAAGTAGTCCCGTACGTCCAGACTGGTAGGAGACAACGAGCCGAGCGGACGCGGGGCTGGCGCGGGTTGGTGGCGCGCGGAGGTTGGGGAAAGTTTGGCGCGGAATCGGCGCAACAGCCATCCCGGGCGCAAGAACGCAGCGGTGATCCCTGAGTACGCAAGCTGCGGCTGCCAGACCCAGTGGGGCAGCGATTGTGGACCAGGGCAGAGCTCGCAGTCCAGGAGCCTGGGGAAGGGTCTGGGCCCAGGAGAACTGAACTGCCGCCATCGATTCCCTCCCGTCCCCGATCCCGCCCCCGCCCCCGCCCCCGCCCCCGCCCCCGCCCCCGCCCCCACATATAACATCACAATCTAGCCACTGGGTCGCCCAGCCCCGGTGAACACCTAAGGCTCCGCCCCCCACCGTAACAAGAGCAACCAGACTGGAAAAAAAAAAATAGGAGAGACAGGGAAAGACATAAGACATGTGTACAATAGAGCAGATCAGTCCCCCAGGACTCTTCCTTTTGAGTGACCAAGAAATAGCCAATCTATCAGATGCACAGTTCAAAACGCTGGTGATCAGAAAGTTCACGGAATTGGTTGATTTTGGGCGCAATTTAGATGAAAGGATGCAGGTTACCATAAAAGAGATGCAGGAAGATACGCGGAGGAGAGCCAATAGTGAAAGGAAGGAATCTGAGACTCAAAACAATACAGTGGACCAGAAGGAAGATAGAATCAACCAAGCAGGAAAGCATGATGAAATAAGAATTCAAAAAAATCGAGGAGAGCCTTGGGAGCATCCAGGACACCTTTAAACGTTCCAACATTCGAATTATAGGGGGTACCAGAAGGGGAGGAGCAACAAGTGGAAAAGTTATTTGAACAAATAATAAAGGAGAACTTCCTCAATCTGGCAAAGGGAACAGTCTTCCAAGAAATCCAAGAAGCTCAGAGAGCCCCAAAGAAGTTGGACCCAAGAAGAAACACACCAAGGCACATCATAATTACATTAGCCAAGGTAAAAACGAAGGAGAGAATCCTAGAAGCAGCAAGAGATAAGGGGACAGTAACCTACAAAGGAGTTCCCATCAGACTGTCAGCTGATTTCTCCAAAGAGACCTTACAGGCAAGAAGGGGCTGGAAAGAAATATCCCAAGTCATGAAAGACAAGGACCTACATCCCAGATTGCTCTATCCAGCAAAGCTCTCATTTAGAATGGAAGGGAAGATAAAGTGCTTTTCAGATAAGGTCAAGTTAAAGGAGTTCATTATCACCAAGCCCTTATTTTATGAAATGCTAAAGGGACTTATCTAAGAAAAGAAGATAAAGAAAAGACATGTATAGTAAAAGGACAGCAAACTCAATTATTAACAACCACACCTAAAGCAAAACCAAAAGAAACTAAGTAAACAACTAGAACAGGAACAGAACCACAGAAATGGAGGGCACATGGAGGGCTAGCAGCAGGGGGGGCTGGGAGGAGGAGAGGGGGGGAAAGGTATAGAGAATAAGTAGCATAGAATGTAGGTTGAAAATAGATAGGGGGAGGGCAAGAATAGTATGGGAAAGGTAGAAGCTAAAGAACTCATAAGAATGACACATGGACGTGAACTAAAGGGGGGGAACGTGGGTGGGAGAGGGGGTACAGGGTGGAGGGGAGGGAAGGGGGAAATGGGACAAATGTAATAGCATAATCAATAAAATATATTAAAAAAAAGAAATAAAATAATAAAGTCGAAATTTCTTTTGTACCTCTCCCCAAACTAGAAGTAACCACTAAACTGCAATTGGTATATATCTTTTTATCATCCATGTTTTTAATATATATATATATATATGGATGATACACACACACATATATACATATGTATGTATATACATTCATATATGTATGTATATATGTGTATATATATCCATAAAAAGTATTTTGCTTTTAAACTTCATTAAAACTTTACTATATGGTTTGTAATTTACCATTCTGTAACTTTTTTCATTTGTCATATTTCTAAAATTAATCCATGTTAATATAATATATACATAGACTTGTTGCATTCATTTTTAAATGCTGTATAATATTAAATTATATGGTTAAACAACAATTAATCAATTATCCTGTTGATAGACAGTTAAGTTGTTTCCAATTTGTTTGCTACACTACTATAAATATCTTTGTACGTGTTCCTGGTATTTATCAGCACTGAGTTTTTTCTCATTACAAAAGTAATACACATTTATTACAAAAAACATTAGAAGAAAACATTAATTTGAAAGTTAATATCCTTTATAAACTCACACCCAAAGACAACCATCACTAACAGATTTTCCTATTATTCCATCATTCTCCTCCATATTCTAATCATACATTTATTCATTCAATATTTACTGAGTTCCTACCATGTATGAGGCACCATTCTAAATGCAATAAAAATTACATGCACTGAGTTTCTTTAGTGCACATAGTTATAAATAGAATTGCTGGATTGGAGGATATATACATATTCATCTGCACCAGATTTGGGCGAATTGATCTCCATAGTGGTTGTACCAGCTAACTGCAAGAACAGTTGAGTTTATGAAATTATATTTTTTTCAGTTAAAAGTGATCTTCACAATTTTTAATCCTCACTTGAGCATGTGCTTATTAATTTTAGAGGGACAGGAAGACAGGGAGGAAAACATTAATTGGTTGCCTATCGTACATATCTTGACTGGGGACCAAACCTGCAACCTAGGCATATGCCCTGACCAGGAATCAAACTCACAACCTTTTGGTTTATGGGAAACACCCCAATCAACTGAAACACCAGCCAGGTGCAAAAAAGTAATGTTTATAATGGCAGGGAGCCCTCTTAAATTTAGAGAATTTTCAGATTAAGAATGAAGTTTCCCTTTTTGTTATCACTGTACTACTAGTACAGTGAAACCTACAGTAATGCATCAATATTTAGATATAATGCAACTGGCATTTTTCTCCTGAATTCCCAGAACTCCCAGTAAACTGGCTATGCAGGTACACATTAGTCATTTCGTTAACTTTGCAGTAAGTCACAATAATAGCCCTGCAATTGAATTTTTGGTACCACTTTTCTAGAAGTTTTACCATATTTTAGGGAGGTTATTTGTCCAAGTGTAGGACATGGCATATTCCACCCATTATTTTTGCATTAAAAAAAAAGGCTGACCACAACCTTCTGGCCTACTGGAGCACACAACTATCAACTGGAAGCATAATTCTCCAGAGGCCTTCTAGTACAGAATCAAGACAGAATGGGGAGATCACAGACTTTTTTGAAAGCTTAGCCAGCTTTCTGTTAGTCTCCAAAATAATTAGAAAAAAAATATCAGTCAGGATCCAATCAGAACACAGAGACCACGGCATTAGTTAATGACCAAGTATGTTATTAACGATGTACGTGAAAGTATGAAAAGAGAATCCTAAGGTTATCTCACAAAGGTAGCAATGGTAAGAAGCAATAAATAACCACCGAATGTCTGAAATTAAAGTTGGCATTATTAAAACTTACAAGCTTAAAGGAGAGGCCACGCTGAAGTGAAACTTAGACATCTGAGGATGGAACACTGCTGGGCTGGTGCTGAGTTCTCTGAGCTTTTGTGTGTGTGTGTGTGTGTGTGTGTGTGTGTGTGTGTGTGTGTGTGTGATATAAAACGACTTTTGCCAGTGTTGGCAAAACTGCAAATTGCACTCAACTGTGGCTATGGCAAGGCACTGGTGTTCGTTGGGTAAAGGAGTGTTGAGCCCACAGATGTAGGTTTGTAGCTAAAAGGCAATTGCTAAACAATTGGCATATCCACAGTCACCAAATTTTATAGCTGAATTTAAAGTCAGAAAGGCTGATTTCAAGTCCTATAATTTAATGTTTCCTCCATTCATAAAATGAAGCTAAGAGGAATGTCCATGCCATAGATTTGGTGTGACTAAAGGAGATTTTAAAAGCAGGGAGCATACTGTGAAAGCACTACTAAACAAAGACATCTTGTGAATAAACCCCCTCTGTCCCACTTTTTAGTGAATTTAGGAAGATTACCTCTTAGAACCTCAGTTTTTTCATCAGCAAGATAGGAAGGCTTTAACTTCTGCTTGTCCATAAAGCTGTTGTGGGAATTAGATAAAACTTATGAAAATATTGATATTTTGACAAATGTGAGACATTTCACCAATAAAAAGGGATTTAGATACTCATTTCTTGCCTCATAGCATGGGCATTAGAATAGAATAGACCTTAGAATTCTAGCTCCATACTTCCCTAGGAAGTTTTTTTTTTTTTTAATGTTAAGCTCTGTTCCTAGTTTGTAAATGGAAATGATATCTACTATTTGGACTGTGAGCATTAAGTGATCAATCACTAAGCACAGAAATTGATGCAGTATAGATTTAACAGATGTTAGTGCCTCTCCTCCAGGAGCTGAAAGATCAAACAAAAGGAAGGTAGATAGATGGACATGTAAGCTGTTTGTAGTTGTCCTCAGAGAGAAGAACCTCACAGTTCTCTCTACAGATCTGCACTGATGATGCCATCACGCAGGCTTTCATCATCTCCTTTCTGCAAGACAGCTAGTTATGCCAGTGCAGTTGTATCTGTTGTTTACACCTGGCATCCATTATGATGGTCAGTGCCTGTGCTAAACCAGTTGTTAAATATTTTTAATATTGTTACTTCTTACATGGATGAATATAACACCTTCTGAAAGGACTCCCACCTATAGTCTCTCTCTCTCTCTCTTTCCTTTGTTATTTCCAGTATTTTAAAATACTTTTTATTGATGTATATACATACCAGAAAAAGTACATATTGCTTCAAAAATTAAAACTAAAGATAGAACTACCATATGATCCAGTAACTCTACTTCTGTGTATTTATCTGAAAGAAACAAAAACTGAAACTTGAAGATCTATGCACCCCCATTTTCATTGTAGCATTATTTATCTAAGTGTCCATCAATGGATAGATGAACGAATAAAATGTGGCATGTATATGCAGTGGAATATTATTACTCCATAAACAGAAGGAAATTTTGCCATTTGTGACAACATGGATAAATCTTGAGGATGTTATGCTAAGTGAAATAAGTAGAAAAAGACAAATACCATATGACTTCATGTATATGTGGACTCTTAAAAATGAAACAAAATTTGTAGATAGAGAGAACAGATTGGTGTTTGCCAGAGGTGGAGAGGGGTGAGGGGTGGGCAAAATGGGTGAAGGGGCTCAAAAGGTACAAACTTCCAGTTATAAAATAAATGAGTCATGGGGATATAATGTACAGTATGATGACTACAGTTAATAATACTTTATTATATATTTGAAAGTTGCTAAAAGAGTAGATCTTAAAAGTTCTTATTGTAAGAAAAAAATTATAATCATGTATGGTGACAGATTAACTAGAACTATGATGGTGATCATTTCATCATATATACAAATATCAAATTATGTTGCTCACTTATAACTATTATGTTCATTATATCTCAATTTTTAAAAATGTATTGTAAGTGTACAGCTCAATGAATTTTCACACACTGAAAAAACCCACATTTCAGGATCTAGATCCAGAAATACCTTTTTGCTTTCTCCAATAATTTCTCTCCCTTCTCTCAACCAGGGTTAACTATTATCATGATTTCCAATAGTGTGCCTTAAATGAAACCTTTTGTACCTTGACTTCCACTCAACACTGTGTGTGCAAAATTCATATTATTCTGTGTAGTTGTAGACCATTCACTCTTAATGCTGTATATAGTACACTATATGAGTATATTCTTTTATTTATTGTGCTATTGATGGAAATTTTATAGGAAAGCAATTGTTTCCTTGTGGTCAGCTAAGGTGCATGATTTCAATCCTTTTAAATTTATTAGGACTAGCTTTATGGTCCAGCATATAGGCTACCTTGATAAACATACCATTTACTCTTAAAAAATATTCTGTAAATATTAGGTACAGTGTTTTATGAATTGATATCCATATAGGGGTAGTTGATTGATAGACTTGTTGGACTCTCCTATCTTTACTGGTATCTATGTCTTGCTATGTTAATTGCTTAGAGAGGGGTGTTAAAATCTACAACTATGGATGAGGAATTGTACATTTTTGCTTTGTCAATTTTTTTCACATATTTTGAAGGACTGTAATTAGCTTAATCCCCACTTGAGGGTGGACTAGGCTTAGTAACTCCACTCTAAGGAAAAGTATAGAAAGGAAAAAGAAATCCAAACATTATATTGAAGAAACCTGGCAGACTCTATTTTGCCAAGGGATCAAGTTTAATAACCCTACTGATGTCATGGGGGTATCAGGTACCCTGATGTGATGTGATGTGATGAGAGACTTCACCTCTGTGGTATTCTTTCCAAAAACCCATAACCACCACCTACCTATCCATGAGAAAACAAATCAGATAAATGCAAGTTAAGGAATATTCTACAAAATATCTAACCTGTACAACTCAAACTGTCAATATCATGAAAAACAAGGAAAGACTGAGAAACGTTTGCCACAGACCAGAGGAGACTAAGAAGACATAACTATTCAGTGTGCTATCTTGGATTGGATTCTGGATCACCAAAAGGACATTGATGGAAAATCTAATGAAATCCAAAGATATCCAAAGTTTATAAAATAGAATGTACCAATGTTAGTTTCTTAGATTTGAACAATGTAACACAATAACACCATGAGATAACATTAGGGAAAACTAAAACTAGCTGAGGAGTATACAGGAACTCGTTACAATTTCTGCAACTTTTTGGCAAACCTGCAATTATTCCAAATAAAAAGTTTATTTAAAAAATTACTGTCACACCTACCCTGTAAAGTGTTTTCCTGTATTATGAGGGGAAGTCTCCTTTCTCATTTAGCCATCCTCTATAAGAGAAGGGAACCACTGCTGTTTCTATACCTCCTCAGTAAGAACTTATTATTCTTATGATTTGCCAGCATTTTGAGAGTTCTCTGGTGCTTTGCCAGTGAGACACAGTAGATGCCCTATAGATAGTTGTTATTTGTATCCATAGATTACTTTCTTTTTTAAAAATATTGTTTTCATTTCTTTTTGGAGAGAGGGCAAAGGAGAGAGAGAAAGGGAGAGAAACATCGGTGTGTAAGAGAAACAACAATCAGTTGTCTCTTACACATTCCCAATTGTGGACCTGGCCTGCAACCCAGGCATGTACCCTGACCAGGAATCGAACCAATGACCTTTAGGCTTTGCAGGACAATGCCCAACCCACTGCACCACACCAGTCACACCAGTCAGTGCCATAGTTTTCTTTTACAGAATGGTATAATTAAAAATTGTTTTTCTATTAGGAAATAATCTTACAGCCCTGCCAAGTGGTATTGATAACCTCATTTCACTGAAGAATATAAATTTTGATGATAACCCTTTGCTGAGACCTCCAATGGAAATCTGTAAAGGAAAACAGCTGTATACTATTGCACGCTATCTACAGAGGGCAGACAAAAGAGATGGTAAGTGATGAGTGAGTGACTTAAGTTATTTCTAGTATCATCTGTAAATTAAAAGACAGTTTGTTTTAACTAATGGCTTTCATTCTGGCAGAGACATTAAAATATTTATCATCTTCCCTTTTCATAAGATTAGCAGTATTTGATTATAATTCAGATTATTCAATCTGGGTCCAAAAAATTGAAATTGAATCACTGAAAACAGTTAAGTTCAAGTGGAGCAGTGGGCTGCTTCCCACCTATGATCTCATTGCCCTTCAGTAGGTTTTTCATCATGGTTGTTGCCAGACTCAGAGAATCCACAACCATATTTCTCTATCACTTCCGATTTGTATCACCATATGTAGTTGTTCTAAAAGTCACACTTGGCTTTGAAGGAGTCCGCAGATGTTTTCCATTGATGCTAGTCGAAGTTTTTGGCCCACTGTAATCACCTGTCTGCAATCCTTAGACAGTCTTCATTCCTTTTGTCCTTAAGTGCTCCTTTAGTTGTCCTGATTATTTCATAGAGATGTCCATTTTCTTTAAATGTCCTCCCATTGGTCCAAATGGAGACTGTTTTCTTCAAGTCTCTAGGAGGAAAGTTTCACTTCTTTCCCTGCAGTTGGGTTCCCAACAACTATGCTTTTTCCATTGACTCTGACTTTGCTGCTCATTGTCAACCTTCAGGATAAATCCAGATTTAGGACCTCCATTTTAATGCAGCATTTAAGAAGTGAATATTGTTCTAGAAATGGGACTGTACAAAATTGTCCCCCCAAATTATTCTATCATGTACCCTTGCCTTAGGTAATCAGAAGCTTACATCAGCATAATCACATAACCTAATGAGATGGTCACTAAAAATGTATACTCTTCTTGTAAGACACAATGTATATCCATATTCAGAAGGTTTTATAAGACTTGAAACTCACTGATGGGAAAAAATCCAAGATATAAAAGTCATTTGCTGTTTTCCCTCACTTGCTAACCAAGCCTGTTCTGCTAATTATTATAATAAAAAGAGACATATTGTGATAACCTCATTTCTATAAAATAAAGTTTTTAGGGGTTTCCAAGGATCCCCTACAACAGTATTAATACTGTTACCTAATAGGATAGATAACACCTATCTATCTTACTGAGAAAAGGGCTGTAAACTTCATGACTGAACCTCCTTGCTAAAATTCTGTTACTTGAATTCTTCAAGAAGGAGGATTCATATGGTTTTAGCGTGTATGACAAAAGTACAATGGGCAGTGGTAACAGATCAAAGTCAGCAAAAATAAGAACTCTAGCCATCTCCTTTCTTTATGCCTGAGGGGCCTTCATACTGTAGGATGGGTGCCCAGAGAGAGTAGAGAGGATGTCATCATGGGAGATGTATTTATTGTGCAATTAACAAAGAACATGAGTCCCTTCCTACAAAGTTTACTTAGAATATTAGATTTTCATTTTTATCATTAGCATATAATCTAGCTTGAGGAATTAATAGTATGAATAAAATAAACAGAAAGCATAGAACATATTTGAGATGATTATAGAGGGGTTAGAGATTGCTAGTTCTTAAAAACTCCTGAAATACCTTAGGTCAACAACAACAAAATGAATACAGTTTAAATTAGCTAGAAGCTTTTTTCCCCTCTATATCTAAGACAGCATTCATCAAATCAGTTATTTGAATATAAAATGTAAATATATACAGTATATTTATAGTAGATGTGAACTGAGCTTCTCAAGGCAATATACAAAAAAAAACACATTAAAAAGCCAGTTTGTATATCTGGTCTGCATTTTACTTTCCAATTTCACTTGTCATGCACATTAGGTAGGCACACCAAAAAAATGTAGATACAATATTAACTTAAAATAGAGCATATTTTTCAAAAATCATGGACTAAATTTTCTTTCATGTTCAAATGTAGAGAAAATCTTAGAGAAGATCTTCAAGATAGTTGCCAACAATATCACTAAAACAAACTTTAAATTTTTCTGTCAAAAATTAAGCCTGGTACTCTCAGAAACGGATATGTCTACAAAGAGGTATGTATGAATGACAACATATGGTATAAGCTTATTCTTATGCTCTGATTTATCTTATACTAATATCACATGGCTGTGAAACATTCATATTAACATGAACTCTAATTTGCTATAACAGTGATTTTAGTTTATTATATATTTGAGATCCACATGAGTATAAGTAGTGATTAAGAATAAGGGATCTGAGGACAGAGTGCTTAACTTTAAATCCCAACCAGTTTTGTGACCTTAGATAAGTCCTTTAACTTTTCATCACATTCCTCACTAGTAAAATGGATATACTTACCTAATAGAGCTGCCATATGATCAAGTTATAAAGCATGTAGTAATAAAGCAATAATGTACTGGTTTTTACTAAATAATCCATAATTATTTTTTTGAGGTCTTGAATAAATCAGAATTAAATGTTAATTTAATTGTTGTTTTTCTACAAGGAAGCAAGGGGTGACATAGGGTTAACATTTCCTCTCTATGTGCTAAACTCTACTAAATTTTTATATGGACTGTCTTTACCAATTAATTTAATCCTCATTTCAATTTGGTAAATTGGTTTAAAAACCTAGACATATAGTATTTAAGTAGCTTAAAACAATGTTTTTACATTCATTATTATTAAATTTTTTTCAGCACTGTTTCATTAAGTGAGGGAGTCCACCAAGCACTTACCAGGTGGAGAATGGAAAATAACAACTTGTCCACTGCTGCTTTAAGAGACCAACTAATTCGGGCGCTAACTATGATAGGAGCATATGAAATTATTGACAAAATAACCGTTTTAAAACTTTTTACATATACAATTAAATTTTGAACAGTGTATCCATAATAAAAAACTGAAAGCTTATGATGTATACTTCTATAATTAAAACTACATGTAAGATAATTACATGTCATGTCTCTTTACATACATTTCTTTTTTAAAAAATATTTTTATGATTATCCTACTATAGTTGTCCCAATCATTTCCCCTTTGCCCCCCTCCACTGGGTACCCCCCATTCCTTCTGGCAATCCCCTCACTTAGTCATGTCCGTGGGTCATGCATATAAGTTCTTTGGCTACTCCATTTCCTATATAGTACTTAACATCCCCCTGTCTATTCTGTACCTACCAATTTGTACTTCTTAATCTCTGTACCTTTTCTACCTTTCCCCTCAAAACCAATAACCCTCCAAATAATCTCCATATCTATGATTCTGTTTTTGTTCTGCTTGTTTGCTTAGCTTGTTTTTTAGGTTTAATTTCTGCTAGTTGTGAATTTATTGCCATTTTAATGTTCACAGTTCTTATCTTCTTCCTTTTCTTAGCTAAATCCCTTTAACATTTCATATAATAATGGTTTGGTGATGATGAACTCGTTTAGCTTTACCTTGTCTGGAAAACACTTATCTGCTCTTTGATTCAAAATGATAGCTTTGCGGGATAGAATAATCTAAGTTGTAGGCCCTTGCTTTTTATCACTTTGAATACTTCTTCCTAGTCCCTTCTTGCCTGCAAAGTTTCTTGTGAAAATTAGCTGATAGTCTTATGGGAACTCCTTTGTATGTAACTATCTGCTTTTCTTTTGCTGCTTTTAAGATTCACTTTTTATCTTTAACCTTTGGCATTTTAATTATGATGTGTCTTAGTGTGGGTCGCTTTGTGTCCATCTTGCTTGGGATTCTCTGTGCTTCCTAGACTTGTATATCTATTCCTTTGCCAAATTAGAGAAGTTTTCTTTTATTATTTTTTCAAATAAGTTTTCAATTTCCCACTCTTTTTCTTTTCCTTCTGGCACCCCCATGATTCAAATGTTGATGTGTTTGAAGTTGTTCCAGATGCTCCTTAGCCTATCTTTGTTTCTTTTGGATTCCTTCTTCTTCTTGCTATTCTGATTGAATGTTTTTTCTTCCTTAATTTCCAAATAATTGATTGTATTTTTGGGTTCATCCACCCTACTGTTGATTCCCTATACATTTTTCTCTATTTCAATTAGTGTAACCTTTATTTCTGCCTGGCTCTTTTTTTTAAAAAAAGTTATGTTTTACTGACTATACTATTACAGTTCTCCCAAATTTTTCCCCTTTGTCTCTGCCCCCAGCATCCACCACTCCCTCAGGTTATTCCCACATCATTGTTCATGTCCATGGGTCATGTGTATAAGTTCTGTGGCTACTCCATTTCCTATAGTGTACTTTACATCCTCAAGGCTATTCTGTAACTGCCTATTTGACTTCTTTTTTAAATTTATGTTTGAATACAGTTGTCTCCATTTTCTCACCACCACTTTCCCCTGCCCTACCCATGCTCACCTCACACCTCAATCCCAACCCCCCTTGGCTCCATCCATGGGTCCCTCATTCATGTTCATTTACATCCCTTTCCATTCTTTCTCACATTATATCCCTCTCCCCTCCCCTCTGGTTACTGTCAGTTTGTTGTCGAATTCAATGTCTTTGGCTATATTTTGCTTGCCAGTTTGTTTTGTTAATTAGGTTCCACTTATAGGTGAGATTATATGGTATTTGTCTTTTACTGTCTGGCTTACTTCACTTAGCATAATGCTCTCCAGTTCCTTCCATGCTGTTGCAAAGGGTAGGAGCTCCTTCCTTCTTTCTGCTGCATAGTATTCCATTGTGTAAAGGTACCATAGTCTTTTGATCCACTTATTTCCCAATAGGCACTTAGGCTGCTTCCAGCACTTGCCTATTGTAAATTGTGCTGCTACAAACATTGGGGTGCATAGGTTCTTTTGAATTAGTGTTTCAGGATTCTTAGGGTATAAACCCAGCAGTGGAATTGCTGGGTCAAAATGCAATTCCATTTTTAGTTTCTTGAGGAAATTCCATACTGTTTTCCACAGAGGCTGCACCAGTTTGCATTCCCACCAACAGTGTACTAGGGTTCCTTTCTTTCCACAACCCCACCAGCACTTGTCTGTTGACTTGTTTATGATGGCCATTATGACCAGTGTTAAGTGGTATCTCATTGTGGTTTTAATTTGCATCTCTCTGATGGCTAGTGATGCTGATCATCCTTTCATATACCTCTGGGCCCTCTATATGTCCTCCTTGGAGAACTGTCTATTCAAGTCCTTTGCCCATTTTTTAATTGGATTGTTTGCCTTCCTGGTGTGGAGTCATGTGAGTTCATTATATATTTTGGTTATCAAACCCTTGTCTGAGATATCATTGGCAAATATATTTTCCCATACACTTGGTTCCATTTTAATTTTGCTAATGTTTTCTTTAGCCATGCAGAAGATTTTTATTTTGATGAAGTCCCAATTTATTTATTCTTTCCTTTATATCCCTTGCTCTAGGGGACATATCAGTGAAAATATTGCTGTGTGGAATATCTGAGAGTTTCCTGCCTATCTTTTCCTCAAGGACTTTTCAAGTATCACAACTTATATTTAAGTCTTTTATCCATCTGGAGTTTATTTTTGTGTATGGTGTAAGTTGGTGGTCGAGTTTCATTTTTTTTTTTTTTTTTGCATGTAGCTATCCAGATCTCCCAACACCATTTGTTGAAGAGGCTATTTTGATTCCATTTTATGTTTCTGCCCCCTTTGTTGAATATTAATTGACCATAGAGACTTTGGTTTATTTCTGGGCTCTCTATTCTGTTTCACTGATCTATATGTCTGTTCTTATGCCAGTACCATACTGTTTTGATTACCATGGCCTTGTAATGTAGTTTGATGTCAGGTATGACAATTCTACCTACTTTGTTCTTCTTTCTCAAAATTTCTGCAGCTATTTGGGGTTGTTTATGGTTCCATATAAGTGTTCCATATAAACACTTCCAAATTTTTTGAAGTGTTTGTTCTATATCTGTGAAATACATCATTGGTATTTTAATAGGGATTGCGTTGAATCTATAAGTCACTTTCGGTAGTATAGACATTTTGATGATGTTAATTCTTCCAATACATGACCATGGTATATACTTCTATTTATTTGTGTCTTCCTTAGTTTCTTCAGTGTTTTGTAGTTCTCTGAGTATAGGTCTTTTACCTCCTTGGTTAGGTTTATTCCTAGGTATTTTTATAGTTTTCTTGTTGCTATATCAAATGGGATTTTTTTCCTGATTTCTATTTATGACATTTCATTGGTATACAAAAATGCCTTTGATTTCTGAATATTGACTTTGTATCCCACTGTTTTGCCAAATTCACTTATTAGATCTAGTAATTTTTCAGTGGAGTCTGTAGGGTTTTCTATGTACACTATCATGTCATTTGTAAACAATGATAGTTTTACTTCCTCTTTTCCAGTTTGTATGACTTTTATTTCTTCTTGTTTGATTGCTATGACTAGGACTTCCAATACTATGTTGAATAGAAGTGGTGAAAGCGGACATCCTTGTCTCGGTCCTGATCTTAGTGGGAAGGCTTTTAGTTTTTGCCCATTGAATATGATGTTGGCTGTAGGTCTGTTGTATATGGCCTTTATTACGTTGAGGAATGCTCCCTCTATTCCCACTTTGCTGAGTGTTTTTTTTTTTATCATAAATGGGTGCTGTACCTTATCAAATGCTTTTTCCGCATCTATTGACATGATCATGTGATTTTTGTCTTTACTTTTTTATGTGATGTATTATGTTTATTGATTTGTGAATATTTTATCATCCTTGCATCCCTGGGATGAATCCCACTTGACCATGGTGTATGATCTTTTTAATGTGTTGCTGGATGCAGTTTTCCAATATTTTGTTGAGGAGTTTAGCATCTATGTACATCACCGATATTGGCCTGTAGTTTTCTTTCTTTGTTATGTCTTTATCTGGTTTTTGGATTAGGATGATGCTGGCTTCTTAAAAGAGTTTGGGAGTCTTCCCACTTCTAGGATTTTTTGGAAATGTTTGTGAAGGATAGGGGTTAGCCCTTCCTTAGATGTTTTGTGAAATTCTCCTGTGAAACCATCTGGTCCAAGGCTTTTGTGTGATGGGAGTTTTTTGATTACTGCTTTGATTTCATCCGCTGTTATTGGTCTGTTTAGGTTTTCTGTTTCTTCTTCATTCAGTTTTGGAAGATTATATTTTTCTAGAAATTTGTCCATTTCACCTAGGTTTTCAAATTTCTTAGCATATAGTTATTCATAATAATTTCTAACAATCCTTTGTATTTCTGTAGTGTCAGTTGTAATTTCTCCTCTAGTACTTCTGATTGTGTTTATTTGGGTCCCCTCTCTTTTTTTTTCCTTGATAAGTCTACTTAAAGGCTTGTCAATTTTGCTTATCTTTTCAAAGAACCAGCTCCTGGATTTATTGATCCTTAGAATTGTTTCTTTAAACAACATACAGATGTTATTTAATTCTGCTCTTATCTTAGTTATTTCCTTCCACTTGCTCTGGGCTGTCTTTGTTTTTGTTCCTCCAGTTCTTGTGGATGTAGGGTTAGGTTGTTTATTTGAAATGTTCCTATCTTTTTTAGGTAGGCCTATATAGCTATGAACTCCCATCTCAGGACTGCTTTCACTATGTCCCATAAGTTTTGGGTTGTTGTGAGTTCATTTTCATCTGTTTCCAGAAACTTTTTGATTTCTTCCTTGATCTCATTCTTGACCCATCCATCATTTAACGGTGTGCTAGTCAATCTCCATTTTTTTCCTTGGGGTTGGTTTCTAGTTTCAGGCCCTTGTGGTCTGAGAAGATGCTTGCTATGATTTTGATTTTTTTGAATTTGTTGAGGCTTGTTTTGTGTCCTATCATGTGGTCTGTCTTTGAAAATGTTCCATATGCATTTGAAAAGGATGTGTCTTTTCTTTCTTTGGGATGAAAGGTTCTATATATATCAGTTAAATCCATTTGATCTAGGGCATTTTTCAAT